CAGCAGGAGAGAACTCTTTAAAGTAGAGACACTACATACTGATATACACCTGAACATCAGCAGGAGAGGACTCTTTAAAGTAGAGACACTACATACTGATATACACCTGAACATCAGCAGGAGAGGACTCTTTAAAGTAGAGACACTACATACTGATATACACCTGAACATCAGCAGAGAGGACTCTTTAAAGTAGAGACACTACATACTGATATACACCTGAACATCAGCAGAGAGGACTCTTTAAAGTAGAGACACTACATACTGATATACACCTGAACATCAGCAGGAGAGAACTCTTTAAAGTAGAGACACTCTTTAGGTTAATTATTTCACTATTTGAATATAAGGTCACAAATGGGTTTAGTTTTCTTAATGAGTGTCAGACATAGACCTGGCGCTGGAAGTCGTTCTCCGGCAGGGGGCGCTCCTCCTCTTTTATGAAGCCCTCGTCCTCCTTGAAGTTCTCCACCACTTCTTCTCCTAACTCGTAGAACTTGATCTCCTCCATGAAGATGTCCACGGGAACATTAACGGGTCTCCGCAGCCTCCCCCCGGACTGATAGTAGTAAAGAATCGCGTCAAAACTTGGTCTGTTGCGGTCGAAGAAGTACTCGTTGCGTAGATGATCGAAAAAACGCATCCTTTTCTTCGGGTTCCCGAGTAACGTTTGTGGAAACCGCGCGAGCGTCTGGAGCTGCGTCTCGAAGCGCAGCCCCGAGATGTTGATGAGCACGCGCTCGCAGCAGCAGTCCTGGTTCCTCGTGCTCTGCTGCGGGTCCAGAGCCACAGTCTCATCCAGGTTCTCCCCGGGAACCACGGTCATGGTTCCCCAGGTTCCTCAACACACCGCCGCTCCTCTGCACTCCTCTGCGCTCCTCCAACGCTCCTCTGCCGCTCCTCCGCCGCTGCGCGTAATTTGGCTTTTTCGCGTCTTTTTCCTCCTTTTTCTTAGTCTTTTCTTTTTACTTCTTCTTCGTTTCTCCGTGTCACGTCTGCAGGTTAGCTGGCTCTTCTGGCATTGTGTTGCCCTCCCCCCCCCGCTGCGCTTCTCACCTTTCCGCGTGCTCTCTCTGCCGCGGCTGTCTGGACTGTCACATTCACAGAGCCCTCCTCGCGCTGACGTGTGTGTATGCGCTCACTCTGAGACACACACACACACACACACACACACACACACACACACACACACACACACACACACACACACACACACACATATGCTCGTTATGGATCCAATCCAGATATTCTGCAACAAGCGTGCACACATTAAACCCTGTTTCAAATTCCTTATTATTTGGGTTGCTGCTGATTTCCATTAGAAAAACTGTTTATTATTATGTATTAAGTCTAAGGAGCATAATTTGACCTTATATGTTTTTAACATTTAAGATTTTTTATGACCCACCCTTTGATTCGGGTTACCCTTGATGGCTAATATTTGCACATCTGAGTCACAGACACATTTAAATTGGGTTACTCCAGATTATTGTTCTTAGCACAATATCTATGATTCGATGAAAGTAGTAAACCGGTCCGATTTTACCCAAACACCACAGAAATCGTGCACACATTAAACCCCTGTTTCTGCCTGTAAACATGAGGACACGTGAACGCGCAAAGAGTCGTGCGTAAGGAACCTGTTGTCTCCAGCGCGCGCACCGGCTCAAGGTTATGCGCGTGGGTTTATGTTTAAGGTGAAACACGGTGTGATGTTTCCAAATACGCGCATGTAATCATGAATGGAGGCGTGAAAAACGTGAGATTTCATGCAAAAACACGCGATTCTCGTGCAGGAAAACGATGTTTTTCATTCATGATTTTGACCTGAGTACCTGTTGTCTTCCTGCAGCCAAACACCCTGCACGAGGCTCTGCGATGGAGCTGTGTGCACGAGGAACAACACAAACACACATGTATTCTCCTTTTCACTGAGAGCAGCTTCCTCTCATCCATTCATAGAAAGGCTGTTAATCTCAGGGCTTCATTTAGGGACCGTCATTAAATCCTTCTCACCATTCGTACACCCAAAGCTTACATTTTCCCATATGAGGGAAAATATATTTATTTAAAAATTACAATAAATGTGTCCTATGGAGGTTTTTTCCATAGCTTCCATATCATGTAAACCAGTTACTCCAAACTGGTATTATTACACTGTTTCCTTGATTTAAAATCCAGTGTATTTCCAGAGGTGTGTCACACTCCATTAATACAATGCTGCATTGATTTTAAAACAAGTGTCCTGTTGTAAAGAAGCTATGGAAAAAAACAAGACTTTTTCTTGAAAATATTCCTATTTTAAGTCAACATGTGTCTGAGAGGGAGATAAACAGTGCTGTGCTGTTAAACAAGCGATAACAATAATAATACATGTAGGCTATATGTAGAGACATTTATCTGTGTTTGAATGTAACCAGATTGTAAAAACTACTACAAAATGTCTCAAAATGAACCAAAGAATTCAATAAAAGTCTCTGGGCATATAATTAGGGGCCGTTAATAAATGACCATTTTAGTTTAAACACATTTGGCTAACATATATATATTAGTGAGATATTAGTGAAAATGATGCTTAAAAAGTGCATCCATCTTCTCCCGCTTATCCGTGGTCGGGTCGTGGAGGTATCAGTTCCAGCAGAGAGCCCCAAACGTTCCTTTCACATCAACCAGCTCTGACTGGGGGGTCCCAAGGCGCTCCGAGGCCAGAGAAGAGATATAATCCCTCCACCTGGTCCTAGGTCTACCCCTCGGTCTCCTCCCAGCTGGACGTGCCTGGAACACCTCCCTAGGGAGGCGCCCAGGTGGCATCCTAACTAGGTGCCATCCTAACTAGCTGCCCGAACCACCTCAACTGGCTCCTTTCGACGCGAAGGAGGAGCGGTTCAACTCCGAGTCCCTCCCGGATGACTGAACTTCTCACCTTATCCCTAAGGGAGACACCAGCCACCCTGCGGAGAAAACCCATCTCGGCCGCTTGTATCCGCGATCTCCTTCTTTAGGTCATGACCCATCCTTCATGACCATAGGTGAGGGTGGGAACGAAAATGGCCCGGTAGCCAGAGAGCTTTGCCTTCTGGCTCAGCTCTCTTTTCGTCACAACGGTGCGGTAAAGCGACGGCCGTACCGCTCCCGCTGCTCCGATTCTCCGACCCATCTCACGCTCCATTGTTCCCTCACTCGAGAACAAGACCCTGAGATACTTGAACTCCTTCACTTAGGGTAAGGGCTCATTCACTTGGAGTGGACAGTCCTTAAAAAGGCACACAGAAAATAGGGAACATGCAGATTTAAGCCCACTTGAATTACATCTGAAGACATAGTGTTTGGACGTAACTACAATTTTAAAGAAGAACCACAAATTACAAGCATTTTGCAGCAGAAACAAGAACAACTATATCCTCCTTTCGCAGCGAGCAGGTTTTTAAAAGTCTCAGAGAGGAAGGCAAACAGTCCTGTGCTGTAAAACAAGTCATACAAATAATAATAAAAACATATTGACAGACATTTATCAGTGTTTGCATGTAACCAGATTTTAAAAACTACTACAAATTATCCAAAAATGCCCCCTAAAAAT